GGAGACAAAGTCGCCTCGATCCTGCGCCAGCGCAGCCGCCGGGGCCGGGAGCTCCTTCCAAGCAGCAAGAGGTGCTTGTGCTCCCGGGTTACTGGAATCCTTTCACATCACCTCGAGGGAAACAAGATCAAGGCCTTCCCATCCCCAATTTGCCCGGTAAAGGTGCTGTGGGTTTATAAAACGACCCCAGACAAAGAGGCGTCGGGCTGCGGATTGGAGCTCTAGGCTCCAACATTAAGCTCTGACAGTCAAAGAACATTTCTTTCTCCATTTTTCTTTTTTTTTCTTTTCCCCCCCGGCAACTATCCGAGCTCATTTTGCACATATTTATTCTTGCATGTGTCAAGATGTCTACGCAGCTCGACAGGGGAAAGTTTCACAGCGAAATCGAATGTAAGGGTGTTAACCACCTTTCTGAAATGCATTTTCCAGAACCTCCTGAAGCCGTGCAACACAAGGTGACACGTTCTCGGGGCTAAAACCCTACCCAAGATGAATAAAGAGAATTAACCTGAAGCTGATCATTGGTAAAGTTGCCAATAGCCACCCGCGTATTTAGCAGATAAACAGATTTTTTTTGCAGAGATTGTTAAGCCGCTGTTCTTTTTCTGAAGCGAGGCTGGAAGAACAATGATTCCCCCGACTTCTGAGCTTTTATAAAGCTCTGGAACAGGAGCTGCCATTTATTATGTCTCTGTGCAGCACCTCACTTAATGAGACCCAATCTGGTAGTGATGGTTTAATGCTGCTGCAGCAGCACAATGTTAGCGAGAGAAATGGAAAACAATTGGGTTTGTGCCTCTGCTGTTTCTTCAGATGCTCTAATGAAGAGGGACGTGTGTAAACACGCCTGCGAGAAAGAAAGAAGCACCTCTCAGGGTTTCACTATGTGCTGTGCTGGAATAAAGCAAGAAGAACCTTTATCAGAGAGTTTTGCCCAAGAGCAGGTTGGGAATAAGACCCGCTCTCCCGCAGCAAGGAGAGGGCTGCTCCAAGAGGCCCGTCCCGCTCCTCTTTCAACCGCACGACGCCAAGATGAAGACTTTAAACCCAAAGATTTCCTTCCCACTATATTCACCTCAATCCTTCTGCTGCCAGGGGTCAACAACTGCCATCCCCACATCCCTGTCTGGGGTATATCCGAGCCCAAAATGTGTGTGCAGCTCCTCGGGATCTCCTCCAGGCCCCGCGCTCAAAACCAGGCGCAGGGCCAGCTCTGGACGCCGGCGCTGCCCGCGGGTCCTTACGCAGGAGCTGAAGAAACGAGCCGAGAGCTGCCCTTCTGCAGAGGTTGTGGGGACACCGATCTGCTGGGACGAGTCCAGAGGAGGCCACCAAGCTGACCCAGGGCCCGGAGCAGCTCTGCGGCGAGCACGGGCTGAGGGAGCCGGGGCTGTGCAGCTGGGGAAGAGCTTCAGTCCACGACGGGACCTACAGGGAGGCTGGGGAGGGACTTGTGACGAGTGCCCAGCGACAGGACGAGGGGAGGTGGATTTCAGCGGAAGGAGGGCAGGTTTAGATCGGATCTCAGGATGGAATTCTCCAGGGGCGCAAGACTCTGGAACAGACTGTCCAGAGAGGTTGTGACGCCCCCTCCCTGGAGATGCTCCAGGCCAGGTGGGATGAGGCCCTGGGCGAGTCAAGCGCAGGGAGGTTGGGTTGGATACCGCCGGGGTCCCGTCCGACCTCAGACATTCTAGGATTCGATGACTTATTCCACACCCCGCAGCCCCACCAAACTCTGCTCCCGCTCTCAGATCTCAACGGCTCCTCGCTGGCGCTTATGAAACCGACTGACCCGCTGCTGCTAAATGAAACGCAGTTAAAATTAGCCGCGAAGGACTCGGAAAAAAAAGGCACTTTCGTGCAAGTCATCCAGAAACTAAAAATTATCCTGGGATGTTTAAAGCTGGAAATAAGAGTCCTGACTTTTTCGAGCTGGCTGCAGTCCCCTGGCATGGGTCGGACCTGACGTGAACACATCACGGCTGACTAGAAAACATACACTAAATGGAAAAAAAAACCAGAAAAAAGGCTGGAAAAACATGCTCTCATCTTTCAAGTGACGAGCTTTCCCTGTGTCTACTTAAGCAGCAGAAAGGGAGAGCTTCTAACCGAATTTTAAATAAGCGAATTGACAGGAATCTCATCATTAACAGGTTAATTAGGAGAAGCCTCAGCACTTCTGCTGCTGTTGTTCAACTCAGCAAACTGACAAACGGCTCCCGACTCCCTCTCCAGGCTCTGGTCTGGCACCTATTTTGTGTTTTAACTCGTCAGCAAACCAGTTTCGCAGCCGGCCCGTGCCACGGAAGAAAGCCCTGCGCGGCCAGGCGGGAGCAGGCGTCTGCGCCGGCGGCTTTCGAGGCTTCCAACTGGTGCCGAGTGCTCTCAGGCGAGCGGGACGTGCCTTTTGAGGGTCTAAACACCGAGCTCTTTAAGGCCTGGGCTCGA